TAGAACTGGACAATGAAATAAGGTGGATTTACTATGATCAGTTGCAGAAGGTTTGTTCACATTCTCTCTTCTTTGACATTGCCATTACTGAGTTCCAGTAGGAAGAAGACACGTGCATGAAATTCAGAGTCTCACTCACTGCCACATACCACGAGTCCTCCTTCAGTTGAAAGGACATTAATGAAACTGAGAAAAAGGACCCAGAATCTTTTCCAGAGACGACTGAAACAGTCCTGCATACACTCTGTCTGTCTATATATGGACAGCTGCGAGGGTATTTACATTTGTTTGGGTACAATAAGGAAGAAAACTGCAGACAAAGGGAAGAAGAGGGGAGGAAGAAGAGTGTGATGGAGTGGAACCCCCCCCCCCCGTGGAGCAAATGCCCATGCCACCCCTGGTAGGATCCATGTCTACAACTAATCACAACGGATGCTTTAGGTAGAAGCTGGATACTGTGATGGAAAATAATAGGCAGCCCTTCTTCTCTCCTCAAGCTCAACTTTCCTGCTCCACAGAGGTAGGCATAGCAAAGGAAGACTGCACAATCTCTTACGTTAGAACAGTTAGGATAAACATGACATTCCCCAGTCAAAGTCAATGCCAGTCAAGTTACTTTCAGATGGAGATTTGAGAGTCCATCATGTTTTCCTAATGGGACTCAAAATTAAAACAAAAAAACAACACACACACACACACAACAACAACAAAACTCACCACTTTTCATTAACTTGTTACATTGCAACCTCTGTAAAGATATTGCCTGGGATTGTGTCCCCATTCATCTTCCCACTGTCTTTCCCTCTCCAGCCAAGTGTGCACTCAGGATTTAAAGAGCACTTGAGAGGTTCCTGGAACCAGAGTGAATGGCGCATGGCAAGATAACTGCATAAAGCGCTCTGACTGATCAAAGACTGCTTTCGTTTGCCACTTTTTCTTTTTTTTTAATATAAAAAAATAACACTTTGAGAAAATCAAACCGCAAGAGGGGCATTGCATTCATGGGCTTTACACTGTTCCTGAGGGTACACAAGAGCTGTGTTTTGCTTTGTTTCTTAACCAGACTAAGCTGACTGCTACTTTTCAGTAGTAACTAGTTTATTGATTGCTAATGCTTTAAAAAATAAGATTAAATCAGGACCATGGTCTTTATTGCAAGGAAGATATATGCCCCTTGTGAATTCTAGTGGTTTGGCAATCTTAACCTCCACAGATATAACATTGATGTATTCCGTGTCGCCAAACAGCATGGCAAGTGTTTAAAATGCTGTGAAGAACCTTATTGCCTTGAAATGATACAATCTGATATTAGACTACAACTCAATGACTGTATCCCTGAGCCTCCCCTTCCACAGAATACTAAAGTCAAAGCCACTTTATTTTAATATCTCACAGCGAAGGAATCATTCCTCATTTCACTACTGAAACAGAGAAAACATAAGCCTCAAACTGGATCGCAGGAACACAGACTTTGCAGCACTCAGGACATTTTCATTAGCAGTACAGATAAAGCTGCCTTTTGTAACAGGGCATCAAAATGCCAACCTGATTCATTCCTATCAGCAGAGCTGCTTTGGCCCCTGGAGCGATGATGGTTAGCATCCACGAGGACAAAAACATATAAGCTACAGGAAATCAAGCAAGCCCCTCTCAGCCCTAAAACCTTTCCCTACTCTTCAGTACCTATCCCACATGCTTCTCTTAATTAATCACAATTACAATTAAAGTTCCATACTCCCTATCCTTTTCCCGACATCAATCAAATTTCCAGATACCCATCACTCACCAGCTCTAGATAGCTTAAACCTTGCTATTCACAATCGGGCTATCTCCCCACCTGTCCTCCGAGGACAGGGGTTCTCACACTGTGCTTCATGACCTGTAGGAGTATATATTATTTGTATTTTGATAAATAAATCTTGCTGAAGACCAGAGATAAAGCTAAAGCCACTAGAGGTCAGGCAGTGGTGGCACACACCGTTAATCCCAGAATTTGGCAGACAAAGTCAGATAGATTTTGTGAATTGAAAGCCACCCTGGGCTACACAAGATCAATGCAGAAATAAATCCCGGTGGTGGTGGCCTACAGCTTTAATTCCATACTTGGTAGCCATATGCCCTTAATCCCAGCACTAGAGGGAATGTAAAATGAGAGGAAAGAGAGACTGTCTGCTTTAGTCCGTGGTCAACCAGCCTTGGAAGAGGTAAGACTTCTCTATGGCTTAGCTGCCTTGCTTTTCTGGCTTCCAGGTTGAACACCAATATCTGTCTCTCTGGGTTTTTTACAATGTGGGCTACAATGACCCCTTGGGGGGGAGTTTAAAGGTCATTTCACAGGGTGACATATCAGAAATATTAGACATCAGATATTTACATTATGACTCAAAATAGCAGCAAAATACAGTTAAGAAGAAGTAATCAAATAATTTTATTGTTGGGAGCCACCACAGCATGAGGAACTGTATTAAAGGGTTGGAGCATTAGGAAGGTTGAGAACCACTTCCTTATGATGTCATTACTAATTCAGACAGGGTTGCCTTTAAGTGTGATGATCAAACATCTCAGTTCTGCCTGACTACTACAAGGTTTCCTGAAATATAAGACTGCCAAATGGCATGCTCATGTCCGTCCAGGGCAAATCAGAATGGCTGGCCATTCTACTGGTAATGAGGACACGACACAGAAAAAAAAAAAAAAGTTAGCTGAGGGAAAGTCTGGTGCAACAGATGTGGATGAGTCTGCTTTAGTTTCCTAGAACAAAATACTTTAAAGTGCGTAGTCTATATATGATAGTAATTCTGTTTTCACAGTTCTAGAAGCCAGTCTTCCGAGATTAGAGAGTCAGCAGCATTTGGCTTCCTTGTGGCCCCTTCCAGGTCCACCTGTGGACTATTTCCATATAACAAGAAGCAAGTTTCAGTTCACTGGTTTCCCCACTTTGAGGCACCAATACCCCCTCAAAGGGTAAACCTCATAATGCTAGCAACTTTAGAGCCAGAATTGTAACATGATCATTCTGAGAAGATAAAAACCATTGGTTGTAAGAGTCCTTGGTGTAGGAAAGGAGTCAACAAACGTGGCAGGAAGTCAGACTGAGTGTGGAATCTTAACATGTCTGTGTGAAATCCATTTCCTCATAGCTTCATGGATCTTATCTATCCATAACTGAGAGAAATTGAGTGTGCATGCGTGCGTGCGTGTGTGTGGAGAGAGAGAGAGAGAGAGAGAGAGAGAGAGAGAGAGAGAGAGAGAGAGAGAGAGAGAGAGAGAGAAGAAGTTTAGTAACATGTGGGGTCCTGATTAACTCTCTTTTTATTGTTATTTACAAAGATGAGCCCTTGTTGGGACTGACATTTCAGGCTGCATCTAGACGAGATGACATCTAGGACAGAAGGAAATGGCTATAACCCCCTTTTCATCACTATGTTTGCTTTTTAAAAGTAAAAATAAAAGATTAACATTGGAAATAGTTCTCAAATATGCTTACTCATTTGATTAACTTAATTTCATTTTGTTTTGTTTGTTGTATTTGATGTTCAAATTAAATTGTCTATAAATTTATTTTACCTATACACACCAACATAAGCATGTATAATACATTGTTGTCAAAATTTAAGTTAGGTCATTACAAAAATCAGTAAAAAACAAAGATCCCCAGAGATCTAGAACTACATAGATAACAGAAAATGCTCATGGGACTCCTCCAAGTCAAAAGATGGAGCAGATATGGCAACATCGTGGGTACCAAAACACCCCATCCATCCTGTTTACCAAATTTCTTCATATTTTTGAGGTTCACAGACAAAAAAGCAACGTGTCCTTCTTATCCTTAGACACTGAGCTGACATGTCGATAAGGGAGCTGCATTTGAAAGCACTAATGGGACATTTTTATTTCTCATTTGAGGTCTATATTATGGATTAGGATGCTGTGATTAAAATAAAATATATTGCTGTCAGGGCTTGAAGCATCAAGTTCTACAAAAGTTTAACACCATTGACTTTGTAAAATAGAATTGATTAGGGTATAATTTTTCTAATATTCTATTAATAAAATGTCCACCCCTTGATGTAATCAATGAATCTTCAGGAATCAGCCCTGTTTTGAAAGCAAATCACCCAAAGCTGTTCATACTCCTGAAATGTACCAGCTGTTTTCTATGTTAATTGAAAAAGGAAAGTTAATAAAAAACCCTGAGATATGAGTCATTTAGTCCTCTTTTACTTTGCTTACAAATGTATGCTGTTGGTAGAGAAACTAAAATATGGTCATTATGGATAAATTTCACAGAAAACTAAAAGTTGATGCAGCATAAGATATTATAAGCATGTCACTGGGTCCATATCTCCTAGGGATGAAGAGGCTAGTGGGTGTTGGTAACCTCAAGCTCCTGCAATACTAGCCACAACATCAAAGTTAGAATCACCCTATGTGACCGTCAGCAGATGAGTAGGTAAAGAACCTGTTGGATACCTAATGGAATGCCATTAATCCATTAAAATCTGGCATTTTAGCAGTATTGATGAGCCTAAAACATATTATACTAAAAGAATGAGTAAAAAAAACAAATAACACATGCTTTTAGATTGCATACATGTGAAATCGAAATGATTGCCCTTTCAGAAAATGGAAGGATAATTACCAGAAGCTTGATGGGATAGATGGGTGAGAAATGAGGGGAGGGTTCTATGTGACATTGGGGAAAAGTATTAATTAGAAGAAGAAATGCATATTCTAGACTCAGGAAGGTGGCCAAAGTTATGATTTTATTGTGTGTTTCACCATTGCTAAAAAAGTCATTTCAATTGTTTTCACCACACAAATAAATGTGAAGCTAGCCTGATATAATACCATCCGACAACTTATGTAACTATTTTACTTAAATTAAAATAAAATAATCCTTGTAATGGCAATGCATGTGCCTTTACAAGGATTATTTATTGCTTATTCCTAAAAAGGATAGAAAAGATAAGTAGGAGAAAGGAAAAATATCTACATACCTGCTACAGCAACTTTTGCTATACGGCTAATAATTGAGCCAGCATCTCCCAAGGATGCCTCACACTGGTAAAGTCCTTCGTCTGGCTTATGGTGTCTCGAATGAAATATGTTCTGGATCAACAGAGAGCCATTGGGGAGTTGCTGCTTCCTGTCATCCATGCCCAAGGCTAGGATGAGGCCATCTTTTCTCCACTTGATGACCGGAACTCCTCGGTCAGACTCTGCGGAGCAGTTGAGCAGGACGTTCCCACCCCGCATCGTGACAGCATCAGAAGGTTCAGACACAAAATGAAGAGACGTGAAAGGTTTGATTTGAAAACCTGGAATAAGAGAGCAGAAGGGAAATGAATTTGCACATTCTGAGAAAATTCAATATGGATTTCTTCAACATTTCCTTGCAAAACTTATTTTTCAAAAAGAAGCCTCTTTATTTTAAGCTATACATATTGATAAATTTCAGATCATGAATACTGTCTGAAACAAAAGAATAATATTTATGTGAGCACCAATTAATAAAGCAGATGGCCCAGAAAATATTACTAATAAGATAATAATTCATAATTTATGGATAAAATATTATTACATCTATGATATTTGGAAATTTATAGAGTTAAAATGAGTATTTTCCTTATAAAAACAGATGCTTTTAAGTTTCATCAGTCAGTAGTGTGACAGCTAAGATTTGTGAGACTTGATTAATCCCGTTATCTGCATTTTAGCATTTCTTGGCATTTTTAAATCTACCCATTTTATTTTAAAAAATTAAAACCAGTGGTGTTGACAAAGTTATTTAGAATAGACATCAGGGGATTAAGCATAGATAAATCTCACCTGCCAAAGTCATAAGGCTACTGCCTAAAACCCCCAAAGTAACTCTATCTCTTTCCAGGAGTTTCTTGTGGGCTTAGCTAAGAGAATACTGCAGTTGATTTGTAAACAAACATAAGCAGTCAACAGAAGGATTAAAATAGTATTTAAAATTCCTGAGGGGATGGAGCAGGCATACCTAAAGAAGACTAGCAGTATTAGTCATTACTAGTACTCAGATTGAGAAATCAAAGACCTTGGCAAGTTCTCAGGAGGTCATTGGCTTTGCACAGTGTGTATCACATCTTTCAAGTCAAGACATTTTTTTTTAAAATTTTGAATAATCTATATGTCTAACAGTTCTACAATATTCCCCAGTATTTTCTTTCATAAATGGGATCTTTGTTAAAGCAAAACTGAACTCTTCCCACCATCTAATCCCACTTTCTCTTGAACCACACTGCATGAAAACATACATGTGGGGATAGGTTTCTTATAAGTGTCCTTTATTCATGTGAAGTTGCATTTAATTTCATAAAAACACCTCTAAATCAAGCTTTTATTCTTTGCACGATGGCAGCCTCGGGTTCTCTGGCTTTCTTAATTTATCCGGAACACCGTTGGTAGTTTTGTGAAATCTTATCAGCTTTCTATGATCTAAGTGGCAAACATCTAAATTAATATAATCAATATTCTCATCACGGGCTGACCTATGTTGGCTCTCATGGTCATAATTATTCCTGATTTCCAGGGAAATGCAGGTGCTGCAGCTGTTTCCTTCCAGGGTTTTTAGTGGACACAGCCAGTATTTCTAATGAAGGACATTATGTCTGTGGCATTCCCAGTGATCTATTCCCAGTGATCTTATCACTTATGATCGGACACTAACTCCTTGCAAATAGTTCACTGATGCAAAGAAAGCATCTACAGCTTTGTTTTGCTCAAACTAATATTGATTATAAAATCATAGTAATGCTAAATGATAGAGGTAAAGGACCTTAATGGCTCCAATCTGATCCTGTCCATGCCAACTAGAGAGCCTTCTCATACAGTTCCATCTTTACATAACTGGCCCAATTATAGTGAAGCAGCCTATTTCTTGAGTGGAAAGTGTATCTGGTTGAGAGTCTGAATACCTTGCTTCTTGTCGAGTCTATATCACTTAAATATGTGGAATTCTACATGTTCGTGTACATCCTCAGAACTCATGTCCTTCACATAGAAAACAGAACTATTCACTGACACAGAGTACTTTCAATTCAGCTCCCATTTTGCAAGGGCTTGGCACAGGAGTGTGTTGAAGGCATCTGCCAATGGAACTTACTAAGGGTACTGAGATGCAGATAGATTTTAAATTAAATACACCTTTCTTATTTGTCAGAAAAAAAACCTAGTTGGAAATACCTGGCTGGAGCTGCACTAAGGGCAAGAAAGCATAGAGAAGTTCTAATGTTATTGAATGTCAAGATGCTTCATCAGAATAATGTCCACAATTTCCATTTAAGTAGCATTAAAACAGAAGAAATAAATTCACAAAGCAAGACTAGGCAACTATATTAAAAAAACATTTATTGCATTTTTGTTCTACCCGGGGCCTATATTTTAAACTCAACCTCATGCTGAGTACATTATTTATGTCACAGAGCACATAATATATTTAGCACAGCTGTTTATGACAGCATGCTAATGAGCATATGTGCCCATTATCACAAATAAATAATCTACTTACTGTGAAACAGGAAGGTTATGACAGTTTTCAGTGCTGTGAGTGCATGGTTTAGGAAAGTTAAATAAAGATTAATTTTTCTATGACACAATTACCCTTGCTGCTCATTGGTAATTTGAGCTTTTTTAATTCTCTCTATAACAATTATACTTTAAATATATGGCCTTGAAATAAATGAAATCTCCTTATCTTCAAGAACTCACATTACTTAATATTTTAGAAAAGACAGCTCCAAGTAAAAAGACTTATTTGAGGAATGACAAATGTCTTTAATGTCAAAGTTTCAGATAATATGAAGAACAAACTGTCTCTGACCTCTTGTGAAGCACTTGATATGTCTAAAAATAATCTGTTAGTGTATCATTTATTGACTTTGATGTATATTAGCAAATCCTCATTCTCTATTACCAAGTTTGGAAAATGGAGGGAGAGCCTTTAACAGGGGAGATAGGATGATAATACAAGGGGAGAGAGAAGGAAGAAATATAAATAACACCAAGAATATTTGGAGATACCATGGAAACATAATATTTTATAAATCAACTTTGTATATGTGTATATATAGTGTGTATACATGCATATGTGTATATATGCATACTCATGGAGTCATGTGACATGTGATAGTGGTACCTCCACTACAAGCCATGCCCTATCGGACAAAATTCCCAGCTCCAGGCATGAGAAACCTACCAGCTCTCCTGTTGCTGGATGAAGTGCAATATAAGGGTCTTCAAAAACAATTTGGGCCACATCCATTACCCTTGCTAGCTGTGATGGTTTAAACGAGAAAAGTCTCTTATTGTCTTTGGTATTTGAACACTTGGTCCATATCTGACGGTGATCTCTGGGGAATTCAAGAGATGTGGTCTTGCTAGAGGAAATACGTTACTGGGCATGGGCTTTGAAAACTTACAGCCTCCCCTTCCTTCTGGTTTCCTTTGTGTTTAAAGTTGAAATGGGAGTTCTCAGCTTCCTGTTCTTGCACCCTGTCTGTCTTATTGGAGGGAGTGGGACCTTGTAGATGTGGGCCTTGACTTCTCATATATGCTAAAGCCATGTCCAGTGAGACAGACCACTTCCGGTTGCTTGTTGGTCAAGATGTCTCAGCTGTGGTGGTATTTTGTTTGTGATCTAACCAAGTTTGGCTGAAGATCATAGTTTGGAGTTAGTTATATTCCACACTAGTTAGCCATAGAGGCCAGGCAGTGGTGTAACACACCTTTAATCCCAGTACTTAGGATCCAGAGGCAGATGGGTCTCTGTGAGTTCAAGGCCATTCTAGGCTACACTAGACTGATCCAATCTCAAAGATAAATAGAGCCAGGAGGTGGTGGCTCACATCTTTAATCACAATACTTAGGAGTAACATGTCTTTAATCCCAGCATTAGGGAGGTGGAGACAGGAAGGGCTATAGCTGGGCAGAGAGAGTAAGGTGGGAAGAGAAACGTGTTCAAGGCATTCAGCCTGAAGATTTGTAGAGACAGGATACCCCTTTTCAGCTGAGAAGTTGGCAAAGTTAAGAGGTGGCTGGGATTGTTCTTCTGTTTCTCTGATCTTTCAGCATTTACCCCGATATCTGACTCTGGGTTTTTATTATTAAGATCAATTATAATTTGAGCTGTACTCAGCCCGTGTGCCAGCACCATGTCTGCCTGCAGGCCACCATACTGAACTATGATGATAATGGACTAAAACTCTGAAAATGTAAGACACCTTGATTAAATGCTTTTAAAAAAATTGTTGCTGAAAATGTCCCAAGGAGGAGCAGAAGGAGGGAAAATATGAGCAAAGAAGTCAGGACCACGAGGGGTGCACCCACCCACGGAGACAGTGGGGCTGATCTATTGTGAGCTCACCAAGGCCAGCTGGACTGCGACTGAAAAAGCATGGGATAAAACCGGACTCTCTGAATATGGCGGACAATGAGGGCTGCTGAGAAGCCAAGGACAATGCCACTGGGTTTTGATCCTACTTCATGTTCTGGCTTTGGGGGAGCCTAACCAGTTTGGATGTCCACCTTCCTAGACCAGGATGGAGCGGGGAGGACTTTGGACTTTCCACAGGGCAGGGAACCCTGACTGCCCCTCAGACTGGAGAGGGAGGGGGAGAGGAGTGGGGGGAGGGGGGGAGGAGGGGGGGGGGGGGGGGAAAGGGAGACGGGGAGGGAAATGGGAGGCGGGGAGGAGGCAGAAATCTTTTTTTTTTCAATAAAAAATTATATTTAAAAAAATTGTTGCTGCAGTCATTGTGAAAGTTGTCTCATCACAGCCATAAAATCCCTAGGACAGAAATAAATTTTTTTTGATAGTTAATCTTCACAGTCTGACTTGCCTGAATCAAATTTGTAAAGGAATAAACATGTGAGTGTGTCTTTCTGAGTGTTCCCCAGGAGAATTAACAGAGGAGGGTAGAACCAATGTCTGTGTGTGTTTGGGAATATCCCTTTGTCAAAGGGCACAAACTGACTAAGAGGGAAATCTGATAAGCACCTGCATCTCCATTATTCTTTCTCAGCAACACGGACCAAGCCAGGCAAGTCCTGCCACCATTGCCACCATGCCCTCCCTCACCATGATGGATTCTAAATTCCTCTGAACTCTGAGCCAAAATGAATTATTCCTCCTTAATTCTTTTGTCTTCTATTTTTGTTGAGGAGAGCAGGTATTTATTTTCGCAAGAAAAAATTCACTACAAGCATCAAAAGCTCCCAAGACATAGTGAATATCTAGAGGAGGAGCTTGCCTTTAACCCATTTTTAGAAACTCCTCCAAATAGTCAAGTGTTAA